TTTTCTGGAAGGGGAGTGAAACCAGCTTGCTTCTGTACTGCCATTTTGGAATCATAAATGCTGCACGTTTCTAATAAAGTTGTCTAAGGTATTTTCAGGTCGGGCACAGTGGTTCATGCCTGTAATCCTAGCACTGGGAGGCTGAAGTGGGAGGATTGCTTGAGGCCAGGTGTTTGAAATTAGCCTGGTCAACATAGTGAAACCTCATGTCTATAGGGGGAAAAAAAATGAGCCAGGAGTGGTAGGATGTGCCTGTAGTCCCACATACTTGGGAGGCCGACACAGGAAGATTGCTTGAGCCCAGGAGTTTGAGTTTTCAGTGAACTATGATCACACCACTGTAATCCAGCCTGGGTGACAGAGTAAGACCCTGTCTCTAATTTTTAAAAATGTGTTTTCTACTTCCTACTTACTACATATGATCAGTATAGTGGTGTCAACATAGTGTAGCAGTGTGGTGTTACGTGGAATGTCATTATCTCTGAGAGGCCCAGAGACCTGGAGAACTCTGTTTATGACAGAGACCTGGAGAACTGACACAGGCTGGGGCAGTGTTGTGAAGATACATTGTTGGTCCTGCCAGGTAAAAGGTAACTGAGTCTTGGCTTTTCAAATTGGTATGGGGAAAAGACATGGGCTGTGCCAATACCTGTGACAGGAATACCAAGTGACAGAAATTATGTTGATATGTTCTGATAGACATTATATTTTGAAAGTTGGCTGTAATTGGAGTGATCACCTAAGTTCATGATTTGTGAATGATTTAGGTGTGGTAATTGAGTGAGAGGTCATGATTCTCCACTGGGATAACTCCAGTTTTTGGCTACATCAGACTTTTTTTTTTTTTTGAGACAAAATCTTACTCTGTCATCAGGCTGGAGTGCAGTGGTGCAATCTTGGCTCACTGCTACCTCCGCCTCCTGGGTTCAAGCGATTCTTCTGTCTCAGCCTCCGAACTAGCTGGGACTACAGGCATGTGCCACCATGCCCAGCTAATTTTTATATTTTTAGTAGAGACTGGGTTTCACCATGTTGGCCAGGATTGTCTTCGTCTCTTGACCTTGTGATCCTCCCAAAGTGCTGGGATTACGGGAGTGAGCTACCACGCCCAGCCTAGACTTTTTTACATAGATAGAGCAATATTCAAGTACACAGAATGGCACACCATGGCCCATGCACCTTGTCTGTCCCTCCACATGTTAAAGTTTAATCAGAATACAACCGTGTTCATTTGTTTATGTTTTCTTTTTTCTTTTTTCTTTTTTTTTTTTGAGGCGGAGTTTCACTCTTGTTACCCAGGCTGGAGTGCAATGGTGCGATCTCGGCTCACCACAACCTCTGCCTCCTGGGTTCAGGCAATTCTCCTGCCTCAGCCTCCTGAGTAGCTGGGATTACAGGCATACGCCACCATGCCCAGCTAATTTTTTGTATTTTTAGTAGAGACGGGGTTTCACCATGTTGACTAGGATGGTCTCATCTATTGACCTTGTGATCCACCTGCCTCGGCCTCCCAAAGTGCTGGGATTACAGGCTTGAGCCACCACGCCCGGCCTCTATGTTTTCTATGGTGTTTTCCATGCTACAACAGCAGAGTTGAGTAGTTGCAACAGAGACCGTATGGCCCATAATGACTAACATATATTTTGTGACTCTTTAGAGTGGGATTTGTTAACTGCTTATCTGTTTCATTTCTAGGGATAGCACGATTAGTAAGCCACCACCACAGATCTCTGTAGGTCAGGATATTCTGATTACAGATACATTTCCAGTGTCCTTGGCAGTTGACTTGCTCACCTTGTCTTTGGTGATTTCTCCTATTCTGGGTCCCCTTCATCTTGACTGAAAGCAGGGAACTCATCTCAGTGATGGTATTTTTTGCAGTCATACCTGTCCTATGAAGGAGAATACCAGCAGAGCTCTTCAAGGATTACAATACTCCTCTCGCTACTCTCTAAATAACCTTTGTGAAGAGAGTGTCTTCTGCACTCTCAACAGAGGACAGGGAAATGGGCCATACAGACAACACATAGTAAATCCAGTGACACTCCTGTCTCTAGGATTCCCTCTTTCCAATTTTGCCAGGGAAGCTCTGGCATATGAGCCTCATTAATTATAACAGTTTCAGGTCTGAGAACATAAGAAGTAGCTTTATTTCAGGGCTGTCCTAAAGGAGCTTTCTGATTTTCTTCCTTTCCTTTTTCCTTTTTCCTTTTTCCTTTTTCCTTTTTCCTTTTTCCTTTTTCCTTTTTCCTTTTTCCTTTTTCCTTTTTCCTTTTTCCTTTTTCCTTTTTCCTTTCCTTTCCTTTCCTTCGGATAGTCTCACTCTGTCACCAAGGCTGAAGTTCAGTGGCATGATCTCGGCTCATTGCAGCCTCAGCTTCCTAAGTAGTTAGGACTACAGGCACGTGCCACCATGCCTGGCTAGTTTTTGTATCCTCTGAACCAGGGCGGGCGGCAGCAGAGGTTGCAGTGAGCTAAGATTGTGCCACTGCAATCCAGCCTGTGACAGAGCAAAAATCTGCCTCAAAAAAAAAAGAGAGAGAAAGATGTAATACTATGATATGAAAAAAGCTCCAAAAGACACAACATCCAAACTTCTGAAAACACTGTCAAAAAAAAAAAAATGATCTCAGCTGGGCGTGGTAGCTCATGCCTGTAATCCCAGCATTTTGGGAAGCCAAGGTGGGTGGATCACCTGAGGTCAGGAGTTCAAGATCAGCCTGGCCAACATGGTGAAACCCCATCTCTACTAAAATACAGAAAACATTTAGCCAGGCATGATATCAGCTGCCTGTACTTCCAGCTGCTTAGGAGGCTGAGGTGGGAGAATTGCTTGGACCTGGGAGGTAGAAGTTACAGTGAACTGAGATCGCATCATTGCCCTCTACGTGGGTGACAGAGTAAGACTGTCTCAAAAAAAAAAAAACACCAAAAACCAAAATAATAACCTGTCTTTGCACTTGCATTATTTCCTGTTTAAATAAAAGTTTTAATGGCTTTTATTTTATTTTTTTGGAGACATGGTCTCACTTTGTCTCATAGGCTGGAGTACAGTGGCGCAATCATGGCTCACTGCAGCCTCAACCTCCCCGGGCTCAGGTGATTTTTAAAATCACCCAAAGAGCTAGGATTACAGGCATTAGCCACTGTGCCCACTCTTTACTGGTTTTTAAATGTGTATTTAAGCCTGAATGGTGGGTATTGGGTCAGAGATAACCAATCTCCTTCAGGGCACAAAAAGACGAGATACATGAAATTTGAGCTCTTTTAAAATAGCTTCACTGCTCTCTTTAGGAGTATAGTTAACTTTTCTTGGATAGATTTGTCATCTCTTGCTTAAGCCTCTTCCATTGGTATATTTTTTCGTGTGTACAGGACCTGTTCAGACTCAGCTCAGTCTGTCTCTTGACTGGAGGAGGAAGAGGAGGAAGAAAAGTTGAGCACATTGTCAATAGGAGTTCTCCAAGGTGAGTGTGAAGAACATTCCTGGTCAATGAGCAGTTCAGTGTGTTTCGAAGCATAATGAAGACATTTAAAAGATGTACTTTGTCACAGAACATGGGGCCTTTGGACTTGGAAGTTTTTGGGTATCTTCAACTTTCCATATTCCTCTCTTTTTCATCTAACCCAGACTTTCATATGATTTTGCAAATGTTCTGCTTTTTTTGTTGTTGTTTATGATTTTAATGTGTGCTCTTTATCCAGATTGTTTCTGCTTTCCTTCTCTAATAATACTGTTTCTGTTCACTATCTCATTTAATTTCTATAGAATAAATTGTTTAAAAAATTACAAATTGCCAGGTGCGGTGGCTCATGCCCGTAATCCCAGCACTTTGGGAGGCTGAGGTGGGTGCATCAGCTGAGGTCAGGCGTTCAAGGTCAGCCTGGCCAACATGGAGAAACTTTATTTCTACTAAAAATACAAAAATTAGGCATGGGGTGGGCACCTGTAATCCACGCTACTCGGAGGCAGAGGCTGCAGTGAGCTGAGGTCGCGCTACTGCACTCCAGCCTGGGTGACAGAATGAGACTCTGTATTTAAAAAAAAAAAAAAAAAGAGGCTGGGCGCGGTGGCTCAAGCCTGTAATCTCAGCACTTTGGGAGGCCGAGGCGGGTGGATCACGAGGTCGAGAGATCGAGACCATCCTGGTCAACATGGTGAAACCCCGTCTCTACCAAAAATACAAAAAATTAGCTGGGCATGGTGGCGCGTGCCTGTAATCCCAGCTACTCAGGAGGCTGAGGCAGGAGAATTGCCTGAGCCCAGGAGGCGGAGGTTGCAGTGAGCCGAGATCGCGCCATTGCACTCCAGCCTGGGTAACAAGAGCGAAACTCCCTCTCATTAAAAAAAAAAAAAAAAAACTGTCTTAGTTCAAATTCAGATCAAGCCCATCATTGACTCGCTGATTCATTAAATCTATTGGCCCCCAACTTTGGCGGTAAGTGGCACTGTGCTAGGCATGGAAGAGAAACCCAAGCAAAAAAAAAAAAAAGAAAGAAAATTAGGCTGGGCGCGGTGGCTCACGCCTGTAATCCCAGCACTTTGGGAGGCCGAGGCGGGTGGATCACGAGGTCAAGAGATCGAGACCATCCTGGTCAACATGGTGAAACCCTGTCTCTGCTAAAAATACAAAAAATTAGCTGGGCATGGTGGCGCGTGCCTGTAATCCCAGCTACTCAGGAGGCTGAGGCAGGAGAATTGCCTGAACCCAGGAGGCGGAGGTTGCGGTGAGCCGAGACCGCGCCATTGCACTCCAGCCTGGGTAACAAGAGCAAAACTCCATCTCAAAAAAGAAAAGAAAAGAAAATTACTAAATTTAGACTCCAGGTCCTTAATTGTGGTCCATATTAGTCATGGATGAACTGTTCAAATCTGTGCTTGTTTAATTTTTGAATGTGCTGAATATGAAAAATATAAATGAGCTTTTTAATTCTTCCTTATTTAACCTACCATTTTATTCTCAGACCCTTTTTTTTTTTCTGTTTTACTTCAGAATGACAAGTTAAAACCAAAGTGTCAGCACTTCAACAACCTTTTTTTTGGCTTAACAAAACATCAAACAGCATACAAATGGTAAGATTAAGATTTCTTATTTGCCACACTCAAAAAAGATTGGGAATTCCATTATAAAATATCAGCAAAAATTAGAGATACTTGAGAGCGGTAGCATTTACCCAAGCAGGAGTTACGTCTCTAGAGCAAAGTTCCCCACTGGTACTGGTTAGGAACTGTTATGAACTGGGCTGCACAATGGGAAGTGAGCAGTGAGTGAGCAAAAAGCTTCATCTGTGTTTATAGCCATTACCCATCACTTGTATTACTGCCTGAGCTCCTCCTGTCAGATCAGTCGTAGCATTAGATTCTCATAGCACAAACCTTATTGTGAACTGCCCATGCTAGGGTTCTAGATTGTGTGCTCCTTATGAGCCTGATGATCTGTCACTGTCTCCCATGACCTAGATAGGACTGTCTAGTTGCAGGAAAACAAGCTCAGGCCTCCTACTGATTCTACATTATGGGGAATTGTGTAATTATTTCATCATATATTATAATGTAATAATAATAGAAATAAAGTCACAGTAAATGTACTGTGCTTGAGTCATGCTGAAACCACCCCTATCCTACCACCATTCCACCCCTGTTGGTGGAAAAATTTTCTTCTACAAAACTGGTCCCTGGTGCCAAAAAGGTTAGGGACCTCTGGTCTAGAGAGATACTCTAAACATAATAAATTTGGGGATACCCTGATCCTATCTTAAAACTTGGTGCTTCAGTATTCTCACAAATTATCACATATGTAGCTAAATAGTAAGATTATAAAAACAATTTCATGAAAATATACAGGAATTATTTCAAGGTTCTTAGAGCAAATGGCACAAGGTTCTTTCCAGCAGGTTTTCTTCATTCAACTTGTAAAAGTTCCATGGGGCAGCAAACTGTATGCATGTAATGAAAATGGCAAAAATTACAATAAAGTATCTGATTTCAGATGAGTAGAATTTATTGATAAGTCTAAAAAATCCTTTAATCATCATTCATCTCTTTATTAACAGGCTGAAATCCACAATGGAGAGGAACTCTGTGACTTTATGGAAAATGGAGAAATCTTTAGTGAACACTCATGCCTTAATACACACGTGGAAACTGAAAATACAGGGGACACTTATGACTGTGACGAGTATGGAGAAAACTTTCCCATGTTCCACAACAGTGCCCCTACTGGAGAGACACTTTCTGTGTTGAATCAGTGTAGAAAAGCCTTTAGCCTGCCACCAGATGTTCACGAGAGAACATGGATAGGAGACAAATCCTTTGAATACAGTGACTGTGAGGAAGCCTTTGTTGATCAGTCACATCTTCAGCCAAATAGGATAACTCACAGTGGAGAGAATCTCTATGAGCAGAAGCAATGTGGGAGAGCTTTTACTTACTCCACAAGCCATGCTGTGTCTGTTCAAATGCGTACTGTAGAAAAACCCTACGAATGTAAGGAATGTGGAAAATTCTTTAAGTATTCTTCATATCTTAATAGTCACATGCGAACCCATACTGGGGAGAAACCCTATGAATGTAAAGAATGTGGGAAATGCTTCACTGTTTCTTCACACCTAGTTGAACACGTAAGAATTCATACTGGAGAAAAACCCTATCAATGTAAGGAATGTGGAAGAGCCTTCGCTGGGCGCTCAGGCCTTACTAAACATGTACGAATACACACTGGAGAGAAGCCCTATGAATGTAATGAATGTGGGAAAGCCTACAATAGGTTTTATCTACTAACTGAACATTTTAAAACTCACACAGAGGAGAAGCCCTTTGAATGTAAGGTATGTGGAAAGTCCTTTAGAAGCTCTTCATGCCTTAAGAATCACTTTAGAATTCACACTGGAATAAAACCCTATAAATGTAAGGACTGTGGGAAAGCATTCACTGTTTCCTCAAGCTTACATAATCATGTAAAAATCCATACCGGAGAGAAGCCCTTTGAATGTAAGGACTGTGGGAAAGCCTTTGCTACATCTTCGCAACTCATCGAACATATAAGAACTCACACTGGAGAGAAACCATATATATGTAAGGAATGTGGGAAAACCTTTCGTGCTTCTTCACACCTACAGAAACACGTTAGAATTCACACTGGAGAGAAACCCTATATATGTAATGAATGTGGGAAAGCCTACAATAGGTTTTATTTACTTACTAAACATTTAAAAACACACTGAAGAAGAAAACTCTGAATGTAAGGAATGTGGAAATCTTAGGAATTTCTTATACCATAATTACCACATTTAAATTCACACTGTTGAGAAATCTTATTGGTGCAAAGAATGTGCGGAGGCCTTCAGTTATTCCCATTCACTCTGAAGAAATGAAAAAATTCACACTCTGTATCCCCCATAAATTTTAGAAATGTTAGGGAACCATTGGATTTTTTTTTTTTTTTTTTTTTTTTTTAAAGACAGAGTTTTTTTTTTTTTTTTTAAAGACATAGTTTTGCTCTTGTCACTGCAGTGCAATGGCATGATCTTGGCTCACTGCAGTCTCCACCTCCTGGGTTCCAGCAGTTGTGCCTCGGCCTCTTGAGTAGCTTGGATTATAGGCGCCTGCCACCATGCCCAACTAATTCTTGTATTTTTAGTAGAAACGGGGTTTCGCCATGTTTGCCAGGCTGATCTCCCTCAGATGATCCACCCACCTTGGCCTCCCAAAGAGCTGGGATTACAGGCGTGAGCCACCATGCCCACTTTTTTTTTTTTTTTTTTTTTTTTAAAGAGATGGGGTTTCTCCATGTTGGTCATGCTGGTCTTGAACTCCTGACCTCAGGTGACGGGCCTGCCTCAGCCTCCCAAAGTGCTGGGATTACAGGCATGAGCCATCACACCTGGCTTTTTTTTTTTTTTTTTTTTTTGAGACGGAGTTTTCGCTCTTGTTACCCAGGCTGGAGTGCAATGGCGCGATCTTGGCTCACCGCAACCTCCGCCTCCTGGGTTCAGGCAATTCTCCTGCCTCAGCCTCCTGAGTAGCTGGGATTACAGGCACGTGCCACCATGCCCAGCTAATTTTTTTTTTATATTTTTAGTAGAGACGGGGTTTCACCATGTTGACCAGGATGGTCTCAATCTCTCGACCTCGTGATCCACCCGCCTCGGCCTCCCAAAGTGCTGGGATTACAGGCTTGAGCCACCACGCCCGGCTTTTTTTTTTTTTTTTTAAATAATTGTTGTTGATACACATTCTTAAGCGATTGGATTGTAGTCACAAACATTTGAGAATTCACCCTGGGGCATACAATATAGGAAATAGCCCTTATTATTTCCGTAGGTCTTTCTAAGTGTGTAAGATGTTGCAATGGAGAGAGATCCTATTGATACAAGATGCAGGCATGCCCAGAAGATACTGCAGGTTTGGTTCCAGACCATCGCGGTAATATGAATCATAGAAATGTTTTGGTTTCCCAGTGCATATAAGTTAGGTTTACATATACGGTAGTCTCTTGTGTATAGTTGTGTTACGTCTAAGTAAAGTACCTTAGTTTAAGATACCTTAGTGCCAAAAACTACTAATGATCCTCTGAGACTTTGGCGAGTTGTGATCTTTTTGCTTGTGGTGGGTCTTGCCTCAGTGTTGATGGCTGTTGTCAGGGTAGCTGTGGCAGTTTCTTATTTAAAGACAGCAGTGAAGTTTGCTGCATTGATTGACTTCATTTCATGAAAAACTTGTTTGTACCCTGTGATGCTGTTTGATAACATTTTACACATAGTGGTACTTCTTTTGGAATTGGACTAATCCTCTCAAACTTCGATACTGCTTGATCAGCTAAGTTTATGTAATATTCTAAGTCTGTTGTGGTTTCAGCAACATTCACAGCCTCTTCACCAGGAGTAGATTTCATTTCAGGAAACCACTTTCTTTGCTCATCTATGAACGTAACCCCTCATTTAGTCAAATTTTTTGATGAGATTGAAACAATTCTTTCACATCTTCAGGCCCCACTTCTAATTCTAGTTCTCTTTTTTTCCATCACATCCATAGTTACTTTTTCTACTGAGAACTTGAACCCCTGAGAGTCACCTGTGAAAGTTGAAATTAACTTCTTCCAAACTCTGGTTAACGTTCGTTTTTATTTTTATTTTTTTAGAGACATAGTGTTGTGTTGCTCATGCTGGAGTACAAGTGAGTATTCACCAGCACAGTGAGAGCACATTGTAGCCTTGAACTCCTGGCCTCAAGTGATCCTCCTGCCTATGCCTCCTGAGTAGCTGAGAGTACAGGCATGCACCACCACACCTGCCTTAATGTTGATATTTTGACCTCCTTCCATGAATCACAAATGTTGTTAATGGCATCTAGAATGGTGAAGCCTTTCTGCGAGGTCTGCAATTTGATTTGCCTAGATCCATCAGAAGAAGCACTATTAGTGGCAGCTATAGCCTTATCAAATGTATTTCTTACATAATAAGACTTGAAATTCAGAATTATTCCTTAATCCATGGGCTGCAGTTAGCAGGCATGAAAGTGTTAATCTTGTTTATAGTTCCATAAGAGGGGTTGGTTACTAGGTGCATTATCAGTAGTTATTTGAAAGGAATCTCTGAACAGTATGTTTTACAGTGAGCTTAAAATATTCAGTAAACCATGCTGTAAATAGATTTAAATAGATACCACAGGGAGAGAAGATGTGGCATGATTCTTACTGGCCCTTTGGTTTTTGGAATGGTAAATGAGCAGTAGCATTCATTTAAAGTCACCAAATCCATTGACTCCTAACAAGAAAGCCAGCCCAGGCTGGGCACAGTGGCTTACACCTATAATTCCAATGCTTTGGGAGGTTGAGGCTGGAGGATCACTTGAGGCCAAGAGTTGAAGACCAGCCAGCACAACAGAGTGTGACCCTGTCTCTACAAAGTAAGAGTCAGCCTCTTCTTTGAAGCTTTGAAGTCGGATATTGACTTAGAGCTATGAAAGTCCTAGATGGCATTTTCTGAAGTAAGACTGTTTTGTCTCTATTAAAACTTGAGTATTACTACCTCTACCTGTTATCTAGATATTTGGGAAATGTTTGCTGCAGCTTCAACATCAGCAATTGCTGCTTCACTTTGTACTTTTATGTTATGGAAAGGGCTTGTTAAACCTCATGAACTGATCTCTGCCAGCTTCCAGCATTTCTTCTGCAGCTAACTCACCTCTCAGCCTTCATACAATTAGAGTTAGGGCCTTGCTCTGGATTAGGTTTTGTCTTAAGGGAACGTTGTGGCTGGTCTGATCTTCTGTCCAGACACTAAAACTTTCTCTGTATCAGTGGTGAGGCTGTTTTCCTTTCTTATTTGTGTGTTCACTGGAATAGCAGTTAATTTCCTTGAAGAACTTTTCTTTTGCATTCACAACTTGGCTAACTGGCACGAGGCCTAGATTTTGGCCTAGCCCTTTTTTTTTTTTTTTTTTTTTTTTTTTTTAAAGAGACATGGTCTCGCTTTTGCCCAGGTTGGAGTGTAGTGCAGTTATAACCCATTGCAGCCTCAAACTGATGGTCTTTAGTGATATTCCTGTCTCCTGAGTAACTAAGACTGCAGGTATGCACCACCTTGGATGGCTAATTATTTTTTTAAAGAGACAGGACTTTACTGTTTCCAAGGCTGATCTTGAACTTATAACCTCAAGTGATACCCCCACCTATGCCTCCCAGCACGCTGGGATTTCAAGTGTGAGCTGCTGCACCTGGTGAGAAATGTGCAACTCCCCCTTGCACTTCAACATTTAGGGGCCATTGTGGGGTAATTAATTGGCCTAATTTCAATATTATTGTGCCTCAGGGAATTAGGAGGCCCAGGGAAAGGGGGAAGAGAGTGGGGAGTAGCCACTTGGTGGAGCAATGAGAACATGGCATTTAAGTTTGCTGTCTTCCAAGGCTGTAGTTTGTGGTACCCCAAAACAAAATAGGAACATCAAAGATCACAGAGTGACCGAGAGCAGTGGCTCATGCTTGTAATCCCAGCATTTTGGGAGGCTCAGGTGGGCAAATCACGAGGTCAGGAGTTTGAGCATAGCCTGGCCAACATAGTGAAACCCCATCTCTACTAAAAATAGAAAAAATTAGCTGGGCATTGCAGGCATCTGTAGTCTCAGCTACTTGGGAGGCTGAGGCAGGAGAATCACTTGAACCCAGAAGGCAGAGGTTGCAGTGAACCGAAATCGCACCACTGCTGTCCAGCCCAGGTGACAGAGAGAGACGCTGTCAAAAACAAAACAAAAAAACAAAAAAACCTACAGCACCACAGTAAATATAATAATGAAAATATTTGAAATGTTGTCAAAATTATCAGGATGTGAGAGACAAAAAGCACATGCTGTTGGAAAAAATGGTGCCACAAGACTCGTACTTGTAAAAAAAAAAAATCTGCAAAGTGAAGTAACATGAGGTATGTGTGAAGCTATTGCTCTAGTGGTTGCCAAATGGTGGTTTTCTTTTTTCTTCTTTTTGTTGGTCTGCGACAGGGTCTTGCTCTGTTGCCTAAGGTGGAGTGTAGTGGTACGATCATGGCTTACTACATCCTTGACCTGGGCTCAAGCGATCCTCCCACCTCAGTCTCCTGGGTACCTGGGACCACAGGCACATGCTAACATGCTTAATTAAATTTTTTATTTGTAGAGCCGAGGTCTCATTATGTTGCCCAGACTGGTCTCAAATTCTTGGACTCAAGCAATCCTCCCGCCTCAGCCTCCCAAAGTACCGGGATTACGGGTGTGAGCCACCGCACCTAGCCCAAAAAGTGATTTTCTAATTCCTTAGTTTCTTCTGCATTTCTTAATTGGAATTTTGTAAGGAAGAGTTATCCTTAATCATTTATTTATCCATTTACTTGTAGGAGCATGTATCATAAATTCTTATTCTATGGTGTATAGTTAGCTACTGTAAATTTGATGCACATATTTTTCCAGATTCAATAAGTAGGGTCTCCATCAAGCTATCTTCTGAATCTTTAAAAATGTATTCTTCTAATTTCTTTTTTTTTTTTTGAGACAGAGTGTCGCTCTTGTTACCCAGGCTGGAGTGCAATGGCACGATCTCGGCTCACCGCAACCTCTGCCTCCTGGGTTCAAGCAATTCTCCTGCCTCAGCCTCCTGAGTAGCTGGGACTACAGGCACGCGCCACCATGCCCAGCTAATTTTTTGTATTTTTAGTAGAGACGGGGTTTCACCATGTTGACCAGGATGGTCTCGATCTCTCGACCTCGTGATCCACCCGCCTCGGCCTCCCAAAGTGCTGGGATTACAGGCTTGAGCCACCGCGCCCGGCGTATTCTTCTAATTTCATGGGTATATAATTATTTTCTGGGCAAGTTTGTTCCTGGTACATCTGTCTCCAGCCCCTGAATCAGAAAAATCTAGTTTTCTTTTAACAGAGAATACTATTTAGAA